CTCGGTGAGGATAACAGAGGAGGGGGGGGAGAGTGTTCCGGGGAGAGGATGAGGACGCGGGAGAGAGGGAGAAGGGAGAGGGGGTCGGGGGCTGCGTGGCTCCCTCGGGTGCCTCCAGCGGCGAGCAGGTAAGCAGGAGGTGGCCGGAGCGTGCGCGCGCGCGTCGGGCACACGCCCTCCTGCCTACTAGCAGGAGGTTGAAGACGGTGGTGACTGCGGTGGGCTGGGCCGCACAGTGCTGGACCAGCACAGGAGCTGGGCCGGCTCTGGTGGGCTGCACAGGTAAGCTTTGCTCCTTTTATTTTTTTCTTCTGTTTTGTTTTATTTAATTTATTTTGCCACTGTTTTGAATTTAAACTAATTCAAACAATGCCAAAAACTCCTCTAAATATTTTATATTGCTAAATGGACTTTTCCAAAAGCTTATAAAATATTTCAGGGGTATTTGAAATTATATTCTAATTATATGAATATAATTCAAATTCAAATAGCTAATGAATTAAATCCAAAGTCCCAAAAATAATTCCTTAAAAATGTTCAATATTTTGGTTGGGACCAGAACCCTTACCAAAAATTATCAAACATTTAAGAAGAACATTTTGGAGCAATGAATGAGATTTTTAGGGTTTTTGCCCTTCTTTTATTTAGGGTTTTGAGGCTTCCAAAATTCCTCAGTTCAAGGTTTCAGAATTTAAACATGATGCACACATGAAGCTAGCCTAGAGCAAACCAGAAGCTAGGGATGTGACACTGGCACAGATGCAGACCCCGCAAACAGATCCGTAAAAAAGTATATTCGCGGAATATGCTTTTTTACGGGTCGGCTATGTGGGTTCTGCTCGGACACCACCGTGACGACCCGCAAACAGATAAACTGCAAATCTAGCATTTGACATAGGATTTCACAAACAAGTTCAAATTGAAACGACACAAACAGTTTTACGCGTAAATAGAAGCCAAGTTCATTACGGCTAACGCAAAAGAGGGCCCTGCAAAAGGTTTGCGCCCATGTCCGGCATCATCTTGATCAATCTTCACTCCGCGCCATCGAGTCCACATTGGAGTTCATCGGCGCCACCGAATCCACCTCCGGCGCTTGTTCCAACTCCCGCACCGAAATCATCCACATTGCCACCATATGGAGCGGAGAAAACATCACCGGAACTGTAGCACGAACCGGCCGACGCCACCATTCTTCTCTTCAAGATTTCCCTCCTTGCCATATCATGCCATGTTTTGGTGAGGTCGTCCATGTCATTGCGGTTCATTGATATGATCTTGTTCTCTTCGGTGAGCAAAATGGACATAGATTTGTTTTCGGCGTCTCGTGCTCTTCTCTCCTCGATGGCAGTTTTGCGCAGCCCCTCTTCCTTGAGAAACTGCCACTTTTCTTGCTTCTCCTTCGCCTTCTTCTCGGCCAACTCTTTCTTGATCTCCAACGATTTCAACGACATCGACTCGTTGTATTGCAACATGGCATCAATCTTCTCCCTCAAGCTTGATGCTTCTTGCTCTCTCTTCATCTTCTTCTTGGTCTTCTTGTCACCATCGGGCTTGTGCAAATTTCTTGGGCCATCATCATCCTCATCTTCATCCATGTTTGTAAGTGAGCCTCTCTTTGGTGGGGATTCTTTGTCGATCAACTTCCACTTCTCGCACTTTTGGAGCAACTCCCAACAATGCTCTAGTTTAAAAAATTTGCCTTCCGAAGCTTCCATGTCCTTGTATCTATGTTGAGCAATCTTTTCTTACATAATGTGAACAAAGTGATCCAATCACTTCTCATGATGCAATATGATAATGCACAATTTGAACAAAGGCAAAACAAACTCACATAGTCAGACTCCACGGTGCCACTTGGAGGTGCATTGCGTACTTGCTCCAAGCAAGCTGCCCAACGACTGCGCATAGGCTTGATGTTCTCCCAACGCCCTTGAAGCGACCGAAATGTGCGTGGAGTCCTATTGGGATACTTTGCCATAATGCGGAAGTATTGATCTTCGATCCTTTGCCAATATCTCTTGGAAGTTTGAGATGTACCCGTGCATGCATCAAGAGACACCGCACTCCATGCTTGAATCAAAACTTGATCTTTCAAGATCGTGTAGTTCTTTGATCTTATGCTTTTCCCAGTTTTTGCTTGCGATTGCTCAAACGCTTCTTCTTCAATCTCCTCCAATTCGTCCGCACAACCATGATCATCCACGCTGGCCTCCGTTTCATTGTACTCGAATGGTTCGAAAGGGGCTTGATCAATGTCAACCGCGTTCGTGTCCAACAAGTTCATGAACTCGATTGTTCCATTGTTCGAACCACCGCGGTAGCGAACGATAACAAGTCACGCGCTATCGAGAATAATGGCGAAAAATGAAAGGGAATCACCAAGACCGAAGGCGCATACCTTACGGCCATTTCGTCGAACACCTCGCTCGCGGGGGGAGCGGCACCGTTGAACGGCATCGCCGGAGCACCTCCTTGCGGCGGGATGGAGCGAGAGGTTGAAGAAGGTGGATTCTTTGAAGCCGGAACCTTCCTCCGCTTTACACCCGCGACCTTGCCGACCTTCTCCGCCGCCGGCCGCGATCGCGCTGCCGCGTTGGCGCCTGGAGCGCGGGCCATCGTGGCGGGGTCGGCCGGATTCCCGCCCTGCACAACAACGTTGCCCTGCCGCTTGCAGTCAGGCGCGGCTTGGGCTTGGGCGACGGCGGCGGGGCCAACTTGGCCGGCGACGAGATTCGCCCGAGCGGAAGGGGCATGGTCGACCTCGACGGTGACGGGGGACAACAGGGGGTCGTCCATGGCGGCGACGGACGGCCGGGGAAGAGCAGCCGGAGCTTGCGGAGTGGGGGCAATGGTGGCGGAGGGTGCGGAGAGCGGGAAGGGCCGCGCGGAAATGTCCCTCCCGCCAAATCTCGCGCGGGATAGGGGTTGAGCTCGGGTCGGCCTCCCAGCCCGTAAAGATAGAGGTTGGGGGAGAAGATTTGTCGCGCCTCGCAAAAAAATTTGCAGACCGGGGCGGGATGCGGGGTCTGCTTGTGCAGATTTTCTGGCCCCGACCCGCAATTTGGCGGTTATTTTACGGGCCGGGGCGTTTTGCGGAGTCTGCTAGAGTTGCTCTAAATCCAAACATGCATGTATAAGTTTCTTTTAGGGGGAACAACATGTATTAGTGATCGAACTACTGAGTGCGCAAAGAGGAAAATTATGCATGCATGTATAACTGATCGACTACTGAGTGCGCAAGGAGGAAAATTGACCACTGAGCATAGTGCACGTACCACCCGGGTAGGGGCACTACCGAGTACCGACGTGGAGAGTGGAAAAAAGATCGAACTTGGAGGGAGAAGCACGCCGGGATTAAATGATTAATCCCCCATCATCCCGACGAACGACCAATTGGTCGCAAACTTCCAAACTCTCGTGTAGTGCAAGGACGTGCAGGTGCAGGGCACGCAGCAACCTTCCAAACTCTCGTGTACCGGCGAGCAAAGAAAAGTCTTGATAGTCGACGAGCCGCGCGTGATTCTTTGACCGACGGTCGGTTTGATCTAGTCCAAACCTTGACGCCCAAAGTCGTCGGCAATGATAGACGTCCACTGCCTATATAAACCGCCTGCGACCATCTTGCCATGTACACTCAGCTCGTAAACAAAGCAGCTTTGCTAGAGCGGAACAAGTTTGGCCACCGTTAACCTTATTTCGAAATGGCGAGGTCGCCCATGGCGATGCTCCCGTTCCTGGCACTCGGGGTAGCAGCACTAGTCCTGTCTGCCGCGGGAATGGTGGCCGCGCAGAAGTGCGGCTGCCGGGCGAACGAGTGCTGCAGCCAGTACGGCTACTGCGGCACTACCGACGCCTACTGTGGAAAAGGATGCCAGTCCGGCCCGTGCACGGCGAGCGGTGGTGGCGGCGGCGGGAGCGGCGTCTCCGTGGAGAGCGTCGTCACCAAGGCGTTCTTCAACGGGATCAAGTCCCGGGCCGGCAACGGGTGCGCCGGCAAGAGCTTTTACACGCGCCGGTCGTTCCTGGCCGGCGCCCGGGCCAACCCCAACTTCGGGAAAGGCAGCACCAGCGACGACGGCAAGAGGGAGATAGCCGCCTTCTTCGCCCACGTCACCCACGAGACCGGACGTAAGTTCAACTCCAATTAACCGACTAAGACGAGTTTAATCTCGAATTGGTCCTCCATAATTAAGCTGGCTATTGTATAACTTATGTACAGACATGTGCTACATCGAGGAGATCGGCGGGGCGAGGCAGAACTACTGCGACAGGAAGTACACGCAGTGGCCGTGCGCCTCGGGGAAGGGGTACTACGGGCGTGGGCCGCTGCAGCTGACGTGGAACTACAACTACGGGGCGGCGGGGAAGAGCGTGGGGTTCGACGGGCTCAAAAACCCGGAGAAGGTGGCGCAGGACCCGGAGGTGGCCTTCAAGGCGGCGCTCTGGTTCTGGATGAACAACGTGAAGCAGGTCCTGCCGCGGGGATTCGGCGCGACGACCAGGGCGATCAACAGCGGCGAGTGCAACGGCGGGAACGCGGCCGCCATGAACGCCCGGGCGGGCTACTACAGGGCCTACTGCAGGCAGTTCGGCGTCGACCCGGGGAGCAGCCTCACTTGCTAGGTGCTTTGCGCCTGATCGAGATGGGCATGCAGAGAACATGCATGACTTATGTAGAATAAACGTTCGGCATGCGTATACGCGTCTTAAGCCGTCCAAACAAGAAATAAAGGGTGAGGATGTGGTCTAGCACGTACCAAGATCCTTGCAGTAGTACTGCTCACGAGCTCTACTCCTTTTCCTCATCAACAAGCAAAAAGTGTTACTCCTATGTTCTTGTTTATTACTCATGTCTAGGTACATCTGTATCTAAAAAAATCTAATACGAGTAATTCATGACGGAGGTAACATTATTGAGACAGTAATGTTTATTTTTATTGAATGCATCATTGGCGAGGTTTGACATGGTCCACCGTTGCCGTGCCCGTCAGGTGTAGACTTGGGCATTTGTCGGAGCCCGGCGCCAAACTGAAGCTCGAGCACAACCTGGCTTGACCCGAATAACATAACAATGCGTTTTTCCTATTTTCTTTTCAATATCGGGGTATATATATGTGCATTATTATAACTACATTTTAAAAAAAATAATCACATCTTTTTAGGTATTTTGGCTTTTGGGCTTGACCGTTGTGTCTAAATTTAGAGCCTGAGCCTAATTTAATCATCCGACTTTAGGTTTAAGCCGTCGTCAGGCTGCTCGAGCCTAATTTAATCATCCGACTTTACGTTTAAGGGCATGTACAATGGTGTTACATTAAGAGTGCCACGTAAGATAAATGATGAGGTGGAGGAGAGAGAACTCGAAGTTTTGTGTTCTTTTATTTAAAAGAAGACAAGAGATAATCTCTTAGCACAATATGTCTCACCATGTTTTTAGGAATAGCTAGTTATTGAAGATAAGGCTAAGACATGACCCATTGTAGACGTCTTTTTGTCATCTGTATATTACATGCAAGACTTAAGATAAGTCAATCTCATCAACCATTGTACATGCCCTAAGCCGTCCTCAGGCTGCCTGTGCCTAGATTTATCCGGGTGAGACGCTACCTAATCCATGGAGATCTAAGCCGAGTAGATATAGTGTTTATCCCCAAAAGATATAAAGGTAAGTTGTTAGTAGCTCATGATTTCAAGCGCATCATAAGGGCATGTACAGTGGTTAATAAAATAGTTTTATCTTAAGTCTTGCATATAATTTAGAGATGATAAAAAAACATGTCTACAATGAATCATCTCTTAGCCTTATCTTCAATAACTAGTTATCCCTAAAAACACGGTGAAACATATTGTGCTAAGAGATCATCTCTTGTCTTCTTTTAAATAAGGAGACAAGTCTTTTCTTATGATTCTCTCTTCTCCACCTCATCATTTATCCTACGTGATATTTCTAAGATAAAACCTGAAGGAAATATGCCCTAGAGGCAATAATAAAGTTGTTATTTATATTTCCTTATATCATGATAAATGTTTATTATTCATGCTAGAATTGTATTAACCGAAAACTTAGTACATGTGTGAATATATAGACAAACAAAGTGTCCCTAGTATGCCTCTACTTGATTAGCTCGTTAATCAAAGATGGTTAAGTTTCCTAGCCATAGACATGTGTTGTCATTTGATGAACGGGATCACATCATTAGAGAACGATGTGATGGACAGGACCCATCCGTTAGCTTAGCACTATGATCATTTAGTTTATTGTTGTTGCTTTCTTCATAACTTATACATGTTCCTATGACTATGAGATTATGCAACTCCCGAATACCGGAGGAACACTTAGTGTGCTATCAAACGTCACAACGTAACTGGGTGATTATAAAGATGCTCTACAGGTGTCTCCGATGGTGTTTGTTGAGTTGGCATACATCGAGATTAGGATTTGTCACTCCGTGTTTCGGAGAGGTATCTCTGGGCCCTCTCGGTAATGCACGTCACTATAAGCCTTGCAAGCAATGTGACTAATGAGTTAGTCACGGGATGATGCATTACCGAACGAGTAAGGAGACCTGTCGGTAATGAGATTGAACTAGGTATTGAGATACCGACGATCGAATCTCGAGCAAGTAACATACCGATGACAAAGGGAACAACGTATGTTGTTATGTGGTTTGACCGATAAAGATCTTCGTAGAATATGTAGGAACCAATATGAGCATGCAGGTTCCGCTATTGGTTATTGACCGGAGATGAGTCTCGGTCATGTCTACATAGTTTTCGAACCCGTAGGGTCCGCACGATTAACGTTCTGTGATGATCGGTATTATGAGTTTATGTGTTTTGAGGTACCGAAGGTTGTTCGGAGTCCCAAATGAGATCACGGACATGATTAGGAGTCTCGAAATGGTCGAGACATAAAGATTGATATATTGAAAGGTTATATTTGGACACCGGAAAGGTTCCGGGGGTCACCGGATAAATACCGGAGTACCGGGGAGTTACTGGAACCCCTCGGGAGGTCAATGGGCCTTCATGGGCCTTAGTGGAAATAGAGGACGGTAAGGGAGCTGTGGGGCGCGCCCCCTAGGCCCAAACCGAATTGGTTTAGGGCTTGGGGGCCGGCCCCGTCTTTCCTTCTTCCCTACTCCTCTTTCCTTCCCCTCCTAGTTGGACTAGGAAAGGGGGAACCTACTCCTAGTAGGAGTAGGATTTCCCCCTTGGGGCGCACCCTATGAGGCCGCCGGCCCCCTCCCCTTGCTCCTTTATATACGGGGGAGGGGGCACCCCTAGGACAGACAATTTGATTGTTTAGCCGTGTGCGGTGCCCCTCTCCACAGATTTTCACCTCGGTCATATCGTTGTAGTGCTTAGGCGAAGCCATGCGTTAGTAACTTCATTATCACCGTCATCACGCCGTCGTGCTGACGAAACTCTCCCTCGACACTCAGCTGGATCTAGAGTTCGTGGGACGTCACCGAGCTGAACGTGTGCAGATCGCGGAGGTTCCGTACTTTCGGTGCTAGGATCGGTCGATTCGTGAAGACGTACGACTACATCAACCGCGTTGTCATAATGCTTCCGCTTACAGTCTACAAGGGTACGTGGATGTAACACCCCGAGAATCATGCTACAGTGATCTCACACTAATGGGGCCACGTCATCAAGTTTAACTAAGCCAAATTGCCACTCGAGAAAAATCAAAGCCAATTTCAAAATTTAAAATATAGTCAAATATAATATTTCTTGAAACAGTAAAACTAAAATGTTTGCATTATTCTAAAATTCTTCTGACCAATTGTCACGTTGAAGTCAAGATCATTTGAGTCACCAATTAACACCTAGGAAGTTATAAAGTGGTCCAACAATAAATAAGAATAGCCTTTCCAAAATAAACAAATACTTATACAATTCCAGATGCCCCCAAACTTTGTGGGACACTCCAGAATATTGCATAGTAATTGTTTGCAAAGTTTGAGTCCAAGCAAAACTCATTTGCTATGTAAACTAAATAGAAAACTAAGACAAAATGATTAACATAAAAAAAGAGAAAGGGAAATGGACAAACTTACCTATTGGACTGGGCTCTACGTGCACAGTGCAAAATCGGCGCAGCCCAGTCGTGTCTTCTCCTTCCTTCCTGTTCATAGGAGACCGTGGCGCGCATCTGGCCGCCATGGCCACGGATGGAGGCGTGCCGGCCATCCCACGGCCCCCCTTTCGGATAAGACCGATCCAGACACCCTGCAAACCCTAGCGCCTCCCCACTTCCCCTCCCCTCGCGCCGCTTCGCTCTCTCCCACACCTGCCCGTGTCATCGTTGCCATAGCCTCCTCCGTCCGTGTGGCCATCATCCACCTCATCGGTTCAGGTCCTCGCCCGGAGCTGCGTCTGCTTCGTCTTCGTCGACTCCGAGGAGTAGTTCGAGCAGGTCATCGCCACAGCGCCGGGATCGACCGCTTCTTCACGCTTCGCTCGTCAGAGTTCTCGTCGAATTCACGTATGTCTGCTGCTACTAAGCTGCCAACGGGACCCCATGCGCCCCCTAGGTGAGCTCATGGTCCTCCTCGACCTCCTCTCGCTCCTCCTCGTGCCTCGTTGGCTCGTTTTCGTCGCGGCTGAGCCGTCACCGCCATCGGACGTTGTCGTCCGAGCCACTTCCGGCCATTCTAGCTCGCACCCGTGCCACCTACGAACGCGGTGCGGTGCCCTCGTTCGAATGGCTTGAGCCGTTACTCGATTTGGACCCCGTAGATACATTCACGTATGTCGCCGCCGCTCCTGAAGCTCGTCGCTGTCACGCGCGCGCGTGCATCCAAACGGCGACTGTGCCCGCGCTCGCTGAACCTGGCCACACTCCTCGCTGCGCCCCGCGACTAGCACTAGCCGCGCCTCCCATCCAACCCCGCCGCGTCCCGGCGCGCCCACTGCCGCTTTTCCCTCCAGCTGCGCCCCTGCTCAACCACGCTGCCGCCCGCGCCTGTGCCTGCTTGCCGCCGCTGCCCTCTCGCGCTCGGAGCTCCGCTCCCGCACCCTCGCCGCTCCTGCCGCTGCTACAGTAACTGAATGTTACTGTAGCGCTGGCTAGCTTTTGCTATTTCTACCTTCTTAGCTCTTTGGATGGCAACAAAACTATGGTCAAACAAAGTCTAACTTCGTTGAAATTAATTTGTGTTGGGAGTTCGCATGACAACCTCCAAATTATTTCATTGGACCAAATTCAAATACAGCATGGATTAAATTCTATAAAAATCGCAAAATGGTTTGTTCTGTTAACAGGGAACAGAAGTAACCCCTACCTATGTGTTCCGTGTGTGCGTGTGTGTACACAGCCACGGCTGGCTATGCAACCGGCCGACCCATGCTTTAATTAGGCTAGGATTAATTAGGGCTAGTTTAGGTAGGATGTAATTTAGTGCTAATTAGTCTATATAAACAATGACATGTGCCCCCTAGTTTAAATTAATTTAGCCTAAGTAATCTACACTTATGACCATGACATGTGGGCCATGCTATCCCTTTTGACTAGTCAAAAGTTGACTGGGTTGACTGCACTTTAGAAATTAACTTTCAAATTTAAAACAATTCTAAAAATTCTAGACTATTATTAAAGCTTTAGAAATTCATAT